ATTGAAATAAACCTTTTTAGCATATCCTTTGACCATCAGTTTTGCACGATACCTCCACTTGATCGTCATCATTTCGCTTAATTTTTGTCCTCTGTAACATAATACAACATTTTAGGTCCCTTTGATGTATCTCAGGATCCTCTTCACTGCATTCCAATGCTCTTTGCCTATATTCACCATGTACCGATTAACCACTCTCACTGCTTGTGCAATGTATGGTTTTGTGCATATCATAGCGAGCATTAAACTTCTCACTACTGATGCATATGATACTCGAGACATCTCCATCCTCTCTTATTCACTGCCAGTGCTCATATTGGAGGATAATTTGAAGTTAATAGTAAGAGGGGTAGAAATTAGCTTACAGTATTGCATGTTGAATCGTGGCAAGATCTTCTTCAAGTAATTTTTTTTGTGAAAGCCAAATCTTCCTATTACATTTGTCTCGTTGAATTTGCATCCCTAAAGTCTTGTTTGTTTATCCCAAGTCCTTTATTTCAAATTCCTAGCCAGTTGTGCCTTCAAATCTTTAATAAGATCTTTGTTGGGGCCTACAACCAACATGCCATCCACATACAACAGAAATATAACAAAATCGTTATCACCAAACATCTTGAAATAAGGATAAGGGTCTGTATTAAGTTTGTCGTATCCAATGCACATAATGAAGGAATCAAATCTCTTATACCAACACATTGACACCTGCTTTAAACCGTACATAGATTTATTCAACTTGCAAACCAAGTTCTTCTTTTTTTTCTTAAAACCTTCAGGTTGGAGCATATAAAGCTCTTCTTCAATATCTCCATGAAGAAAAGTTGTTTTAACATCTAGCTGCTCTAGATGTAAGTTCAATGTAACATATAAAGCTCTTCTTCAAGATCTCCACTTGATCGTGTCCATTTCGCTTAATTTTGAAGACTCATTTGTTACCAATTGACTTTCTTCCTTGTGGTAGTGTCACAAGGTCCATGTATTATTTTTATGAAGGGTTCAATTTCTTCTTGGATTGTCGTCATTCACTGTGAAGCATTTGAGCTATTTATTGCCTTCTGGAATGTTGATGGCTCACCGTCCTATGTTAAAAGACAGTATGTAATATTTCCTTCTATAACATAATCTGAGTGCCAATTGGGATGTCTTTTCACACAATCTGATTGGCGAGTTATTGGAGCTTCAAAACTTCCTGGTTTTTCATCATCGTGTGTTGGTTCTGCTTCAGAAGAATCTCCTTGTTCAAATTCCTTTTCCACATGTATCTATGTAGTCTCTAACTTTTCAGTGTTGTCATCTTCTTATTTTTTTTTGTAGCTTATCTTCTACAAAGATAACATCCCTGCTGATAATCACTTTGCGGGCAGTGGGATCCCACAAGTGATACCCTTTTACTCCATAAGCATACCCCAAGAATTTGCATTTCTTGGATTTTGGATCCAACTTTAAAATTTCTTGGGCGTTGTACATCACGTACATAATACTTCCAAATACATGGAGGTTTAAATAATCAACAGGTTTATCAGTCCATATCTACATTGGTGTCTTCAACTATATTGTATTTGATGGAGCCTGATTCACCAAATAACAGTCGGTGTTGATTGCTTCTGCCCAAAATGATTTTTCTAGGCCTGTAGCCCTCAACATTGCTCTTGTTCTTTCCAACAAGGTCGTGTTCATCCGCTCTGCCATCCATTTTGTTGAGGAGTGTTTGCAACTGTGAACTATCTTTTGATGCATTCTTTCATGCAAAAATCATCAAAATATTCACTTGTGTATTCTCCTCCATTATCTGGTCTGAAACACTTAAACTTATTTCCATAATCAAATTCTACCTGCACTTTAAAAGCTTTAAAAGTTGAAAGCACATATGACTTGTAAAATTGTCAAAATACCGCTTTATTTAAAAAGCAATCAATTAACTTTTAAAACATAGTAATATAAATTACTATTCATTTATATTACTATTTATATATTCTACCAACCATATTAAAGCAATTTTATCAGAGTAACCATAATATTCATAATATGCATGCCACTAACAAATCAAAATAATATTAAGGATGTTTTACTGATATCGTATGTCGGTATAATTTTTCCAAGAGATATGCTCACAGTATTCCTCACTTCACATTCTTATATTTTTTTACATACACGTAAAAATCATCACACGATAAATATAACTTAATAAGATATTATAACAAATCAATGTGAGATACAATATTAACAACTTAATAAAATCAAAAGAATATAATTCATTATATAAAACTTTCGAAAGTCACAATTCGACTTTAATCAATCATTTTATCATCTTTAAAATCTGTAAAGACCAATATGATACATATTTGTAAAAATCATGACAATAAAATGTCAAATCACAATAATTAATAAAATATTCATTTTCTTTCAATCATATTTCTGATCCTCATAGCCAGTTCTTTCACGTTTCGAATTCGTAATTCTTTTTCAGATTCATAAATCATTTTCAGATTCAAAGCTCAATTTCATGTTCAAAACTCATTTTCAGATTCTTGACTTTTTTTTATCGGATACATGAATCGATGGGAATCTCTTCGGTTAATCTAATGGGAAGCTCCGTGATCATCAACGTCCCATCTTCGCCGTCTTCATCTTCATCGTCGTCGCGGGTTCATCAGATGGCGGAGAACGAAGGTGAGGATCGCTTGGGGATGGAGCTGGAAGGTAAGCTTTCGGATCGGAAACGTTTTAGTAAGATATTAGGACGCGAGGTGCCTCGATTGGTCGTTGATAATTTAGAGAACGGGAGAATGTTATCGTCGTTAAACCGTGGGATTGAAGAATTGGACGAAGGGGAAAAGCAATTGAACCTCGAAATCAAATATTTGGAACGGGAAGTTCTGATGTTGATGATCGCGAAAGGGTTGAAAGGAGATGAAAATTTGGGGAAAGTTGGAGACGATGAAGATATTCTGAAAGCGATGAAATTGACTGATGAATTGAAAGGATTAGAGATCGGAGCTGAAGAACGGGTGAAGAAATCTGGAAAGGGTAAGATTTCAAAACTTGATGTACCTAGACGTAAAGTGTATCCCAATAAGAAAAAAGTTGCCCAGAAAATTGAGAAAACCGGGAAAATGATCGACGAAGCCATGAAGGTGAGCGATGATAACGGCGATAAAGATGAGAAGAAATTGAGTAAAGAAGTTGAAATTCTGGAAGCGATGTTGGAGAGGGGAAGCTACGGGTTGCTCGATTTGCAGATGATGATGGAGGAAGTCAAGGCCATGAAAGGATCGGAGAAGATGGTGAGTGAGATCAAGGATAGGATGACTGAGTTGAAGTCCGAGTTATGGCAGCTGAAGAACGCCATTGTTGAGTTAAAAAGTACGAAAAGGAAGGAATTAATGGGTCGTGCGAAAAAGGAGGAAGAAAGTGAAATGAAATATGAGGAACGAGAACCACCACCACAAGAGTATGCAGAAGAAGAGGAGGGGGAGGAGGATAATGGTAGTAAGATCAATTGGGGTTCTATAATTGCATCGGTCGGAGCTGTTGCCATCGCCGCCACTGCCGTGTTCTTTATGGGACGGTCAAGCTCAAGGGTGGAGATTACATCGGAGAAGAACAGGCGCCAAAATGAATAATGTTAAAGCTTACTTTCAATAGGTGATATGTAGGGGTGAAATTAGGGTTCTAAATATATAAAATTTATCCCTTTTTTTTGTAGATGGTGGGAATTTTAAATTCTTTAAACTCTCAATTATTTGCATGTAAGTTTAAAAAAAACTGTTTCAAAAAAGTTCTAAAAAATCATATTTAAAAAAATCTAAAAAGATATTTAGATATCTATTTAATTCAATTTCAGATATAATAAAGATTCATATGATAATGGTATATAAAAGTTTTAAATATGCATATATAACATTAAAATTTATTTTATATCATATGATAATCGGATATTAGAATTGTACAATTAAAGTAATTATAAATTTATTCGTACTTCCAGATCTAATTTAGATGACCCAGAAACAAACAGCGTAACCCATAGACTAATGGTCCCTAAGATAAGCTTCAACGACGAACAATCTGTTCTCCAATTCGGAACCCATATCACTTCCAATCCTCAAAATGTCTGGCCATACAGTTGGCCTTCGACCACCACTGTATGCAGCTGGACCTGCATTTCTTGCAGCGTTAATGGCTGAGTGAATCTCCCCGACATGAACCTGCACGGGACTACCCCGCTGCCCTTGGAGAACCTCTCGTTGTTGTCATGAGTGGAAACGATTCTCATGGCAATTTTCCATCTGAGTTGGCCATACAACCGAGCTTTTGAATCCCATCCTCCTTCCGTCTATAATATTTCCTCCTTTGTCAAATAATTTCGCCGCAAGTATATCAAGCAACATTGAGAACTTAACTTAGCTAAGATAACTACATATTGCAGCAACATATATTGGGAACGCTTCTTTGCAGGTGAAATACAGAGGGAAATACGTCATCTTAGTAATTCGCTGATATTTGATGGTCAAAATTCAAACCTTACAGGTCCAGTTCCTGAAAACATCTTCGATATATCTTAATCGGAATGGATTCTCCTAGGAAACAATAGTCTTTCCGGTACTCTCCCGATTAACATATGTGGTAATCAGTCAAGGCTTGAAGTTCTTTACTTGGCCCAAAATCAGTTAAATGGTGAAGCTCCTTCCAACTTGGATGCCACAAGTTTCGGAATCTAGATTTTTCCATACACATTCACAGGTGGAATCTCGTGTAGCATCAGAAACTTAACCGGTCTCGATATGTAACTCTTAGGTAATAATGAATTGAAAGATGAAAAATAGAAAACTAGATCAGAAACACTCAGTGGCAAACTCCCCAGATGCATCACCAATGCTTCGACACTCAGTCTTAGAACTCAGCCACCATAGGTAACATTCATATATCAAACGTTTTCACATATCCAACCGACAAGAAACAAAAATTCAGATACCATGAGGTGACGTAAAGTAAAACTTGCAAAGTGTTTTTAAGAGCACGAGAATGTTTTAGAATTGTACTATAATAATGTTCAGCTCGCTGATGTCTAACAAAAATCACAGTGAAGAACATGATTCGACATCTAAAACAACAAAATTGTCCAAAAACTTAAAACCAACCTGAACAAACAGAGCTCATCAATAAATATAACCAGTACAAACTTTGCTTTCATTCATCCTCCTGGCTGCGCAACCTGGCAAGCTTGTTAGTAACGACAACATCAAGCTGAGCCGCTCGTTCCACAATCTCTTTTCTCTTCTTCGTGGAAACATCATGGGCAATCTCAGCACAGTACGTCCTGATAAGCAACAAATCACATTGATAACACAAACATAAATGATATAACATCGGTAATGATACTAATTCTTGGTAAGCTAACAACGGTTACCTGTGGTGCATCATCAAGAGTTCAAGCTCTCCAACATTGTGCACAACAAATTTCTTAAAGCCATTCGGAAGATAGTGACGAGTCTTCTTGTCTGAACCATAACCAATGTTGGGCATCAAAGTACATCCCTTGAACTTTCTTCTTACACGAGAATCAATACCCTTCGGTCTACGCCAGTTTGTCTGTCATCAATCAACAGGATAAACATGATAAGTAACACGAACAAAGTAGAATGAACATGTAAATGAGGAAAATCAATGTGATCAGGTATTTAGCATAGAAAGCTTGTGATTGAAAAAAGCTAACAGTGTCACAAGACCTAGTAAACGAATTTTGTTCGCCCTTAAAACGAAATGCCCAGTTACATACATATAAAAACTGGACATCAGATACCACAGGCGAGAACTACAAGAATTCATTGCAACTTCTTTTTGTAAAACAAAGAATTAAAAAAAAGTATACTTTATAAGGCTGAAGACCCCTATTGGAGCAATGGTAAACGGATCACTGGATCAGATAGTCGATCTATACTGAATCAGCATATAGAAACTCAGACTGTGTGTTAAAAGATCTATCTTCATATCCACACTCAAATTCATTAAAGAAATGGAAACCAGATAATAATTTATGAGCAAGTGAAGCTGCAGCTAGTAGTTAAAGAAATGGAAATCAGATAACAATGCCAATCACCGACACTGAATATATGCAAAGTAAGACTGGGGCGACAATATCATCATTTTTCATTTTTTTCTAAAAAAACTAAGCTCAAAAATAAAAAGGCTGAAAAGAAAAAATCAAAACTTAAATGATAACGAGGAACTTTTGATTATACCTTGACGGAGATTTTGCGATCGCTTTGGGGTCTCTTGAACTTCTTGACCCTCTTCTTCACGATCTTCTTACTTAAAAGTGGCACCGCCATTTCTTCTTTTTCTTCTTCTTACCTCCTTCGCCATTAACAAACAAACAAAAAAATTACTAAAGCCGATGGAATAATAAATCATTAAGAAATATAAATAAGCAAAGAAAGAGGGAGGTGTGCATATATGCTTACTGGGAAATTAGGGTTTACGTTGGCCGCCCGATTTTGCTGCTGTGAGCTGCAGCTGGTTATATATAAGGCTTTATCTTTTGTTTTTAGGTTGGTCGAGAGATACGGATGCTCGTGGGGAAAGATAAACGGTGGAAAATAGGTGATTATTTTGTTCGTTTTAAAGGTCTAATTTCGGCCTCAGCCTCTTTATTCTTCAGAATTTTAAACTTGGTCCCTTCACTTTAGTACCATAAGTTCTTTATTTAAGATTTATAGGAGTAATTTTATATTTGGGCATTATATTACCACGTTTAATTCATGAAAATTACCTTAAACTGATAATCTTTTGTTCTCAACTGTGTCAAGATTTTGAATTTTAAATATTAATCTCAATATCACTTTTTTTTATAAAAAAAGTATGTAAGATTTTCAAATTCATATAATTTTCAAGATAAAATATGTAAATAGTCCTTCAATTATAGAACATATTTATTGAATCTTTAGGCTATGAAAAATTATAAAATAATTATTCAACTTAAAAAAATTGATTATTTTTATTAAGAAAAATCTTAACGCGTGTGATGTGTTAGTTGATAAAATTAGCATAATAATAATTTAGCTCTAAATTTTAATTTAAGGGTTGATAGCGACAACAATCAATGATAAATGGTGATCGATGACATTGATGAGCAATAATAATGGGAATCTTGACTAGATTTAAAGATCAAATTGATTTTCTATCCAAAGTTTATGGATTAAATTAGTATATTATATAAAGTTAGGGTCAAATTAATATTTGCCTAAAATGTATAGGTTAAGATAAAATTTAACCAGTTTTACTAACGCGTCGGAGCTTAGGATTCAATAATCAAAATATAATGAATCGATAATGTAAACGACATTACTGCATCTTCGGCAGTGTCGAAAGTTTCAAGCCAAAGCCTGACCTTTTGCAAAAAGTCCTTGATCTCCCCATCTCCCCGATGGTCTCTGCCTAACTCCCAAGAATCTGCGGTGTCTTCTAGACGATTTCTTCTTCTTTCTCGAGGCCAATCCAGCAGTACTGATAGGAACTGTCATAGTTAAACTCTTCGTTTAATGGAACCTCTGAGTAGCCGACGTTCGGGTTTCTTATAATGGCAGATTTCGAGCGGCCGAGTATCTTTGGAATGCCATTAGTCGACAATAAAGAAGATGGCAAAACCTGGTGCTTAAAATATTGGGATGTCTACTGCAGGCCTAGTTTATATCGACTTAAATTGCATCCTTTTTTCTATTAGATTTTTCAAAGATTTTATATATACACACATGATGATGGTAGGATTGAATTTTGCTTTTCCCATGAACACAAAAGTTAAACATTGAGAATATTAATGAAGTCAAAGCAAAGATTTTCGTTCTATTCTGTTATTTCCATAACGCAAAGCTTATCCAAAGAACATGCATTTAGACAACTGAAAATCGTAGAATGAAACTCGTAGGAGTTGGGAGAGGAAGGTTCAACATCTACCCATTTTTTCTCGACTAGCTCCACATGCGGATTCGGCTTTGATATGGCATAGAATTGAAGATTATTTATCTTCCTTGTAACTTCTTCATTATATCCAACGAGAACACCATGCCAAAACCTTCCTCAACATCCTCCGTATGCTCGAAAATTTGAATGCCAATCTCCGCTTCCTTTTCATTGACCAACCCAAGGAGCAGCAGTGAGCTCTGTCCGATATATCTTGCACAGTGGCATACCTGCAAGATGCGAGCCGTAGAAACAAGAATCAAGGGAAAATGTTAAAGACGAGGCTGCTAAGAAGACAAGCATTGAATTATATAATGCATGCGCAAGAACTTGTTTGCGTGGGCAAACGTCACGAATTTAAGTGATGCTGTAGAAAGACATTCTACTTGCTTATCGGATCTATTATAAAGACATAAACTTGCACACAAAAGAAGCGTAACGCCTTTCCTTCTAACAAGTTACAGTTCACTTAGTTATCAACTTCACTACATCAATAAAGGGCAATAGATTACAGCCGAAAAAATTGGCAATGTGCACCTTTGAACTCATGGAAACAAAACCTACTTTTGGACTTGATTCAAGAGTCTCTTATGATATTTTCATAGAATTGGTAGCATATATTATTGACTAAAAGGTTTAGAGAAAGCATCAATAAAACAGTTTAAAAGCCTTAGTCTGTTCTTTTTCATGGAAAAAGGACTGAACTGGTTTAAAATATAACGAAGTTTATAACCTGAATATACTTTACGCCATTCTGGGAAAGGTTCTCCACAATGCTGTCAGATGAAAGCAAGCTAATGACTCCTCCAGAGCCAACTGGTGCTTGCAGTATCTCCCAAGGTGATTTCATCAAAATCTTATGCCTGTTTTGTTCCAGCAAACTGCTAACAACCGGCAGCCTCTCTTCTTCCAAGAACCAAACCTGTAATTTGGTTGGGTAAATAAAGGTGTTAGTTTACATATATTCATCAAACACGTAGGATAAAAGCAGTTCACATCTATCATTTTCAATTCCTATTTACGTCAAAGTTACAAGCATGATTGCTAGGGCCTAGCCAGTGAAATCCCAACATTATGGATTTTCTCATAGAGGGATCTCCGAATCCTCAAGAATTCGATGGAAAAATGTTCAGATCATAAAGATGATAGCCACGGAAAGCCAAACACCTTAGTAGAGTTGAAGCTAGAAATGAGAAAACTTTCTGGGTAGCATTGGGATTCGACCAAAACCAGAAGTTGGAATCAGCCAGTATTATTAAATGTTAAAAGAGTAAGTGCCTTGGAAGCTTTCATTAGTTGAAAATCAGACCCCGATTCCTGAAGTAGATGCATGGCTATCAAAACTTTCTCATTTAATTCTAATTTACACTCTGGGTGTGAAACACAACAAAAAGGAACATTTTGAAAACTACAGCTATCCGCACTGAAATATGATAGCAAAACCTACAGCCTGTAATGAACATTACAAATAACTTTACTCAGCACCTTGTGTTTTAGTCTTGTGAATCATTCAAAGACTACAACCCAGAGCAGAAAAGAAAATCACAAGATATTCCATGGCAATGACACTGATACTGACCTTTTCGGGGTCAAATCCAAAATAATTGTTACTTGAGAACATCTTATTCATAGAATTGATTTCACCGGCTGGACTAATCAAAACCAGTGGCGTAGATGAACGATGTTCTACCTGCAAGCATCGAGCAATAAGATTTTATATTCATAAATTGGAACTTCAGTATGAATTGCAGTAGCTTATAAATGAAAATTTCTGTAGCATGAACCAGTAACAACTGACAAACTAAGAAATTTTTCCCAAACGTAAGTTCTTATCTTGGCACCACCTTCACAAACCTCTCATCATCAGAAAGCAATGTCTGAAGGGAGGATGTTTCAGAATTATTCGTGCTCGTTGAGAAACCGAGATCAAGGTCATACTCTTTTCCCCAGTTCTTATGGTCACTCATAGCTAAAACAACAGCAACTTTGCCTTTAGAAACAAGATGAAGTGCCTTTTCGTGCAAAGTGAAATTTGTTCCCAGCTTCTCTCCACTTGTAGATGGAGTAAAACATTTTTCTGATATCTTCAGTCTATTTCTCACCAGCTTAGTCCCAGAAAGCGATTCAATTATACTCCATCTGATTCAAGAAGCAACATAGAAAGTAAATCACCATCACCGCTTATACAGTTCAGATAATGCCTTCTAACTGAAAGGATTCTAAGATGAAAACAACTGGGTTTTTGCCACCATATTTGAAACTGATGATGAATTTGTTCAAAAATTAAATGGAAGTTTGATAAGTGCAAATCGAGAAAAAATGTGTTTATACACTACATATACATATATAAATGCTTCACCTCTTTGAAGCTATCTCAACATTCTCCAATGCCTGCTGAAGCAATTTGGAATTGACATTGACAATCTGATCTGCAAGTAGGCTCACTTGTGACTTCTCTCCAAATCCGAACCCATGAAATACATGTTGCTGCTCCATTTCAATCAATTTCTTTTTTGCAGATATTAACCGCTTTTGAAACTTTTTTCTTTCTTTCCATTCCTGAAACATGTTGACAGAAGAATCAAGACATGAACCTGATTGATACAAAAATGTAAACACACGAACTGTGAAAAAAATGACAGAAGAATCAATGGAAGAGCTTGAGAAGATGAGCATATGAAATAAATATCAAAATTTCAATGTACTCTATACAAAAAAAATATTTACTTAATAATATACGGGAGAACAGAAGCAGAAGGAAAAATGCAATAAAGGAAAGTCCAGATGACAAGAAAATAAGTAAGCAGAATACTATTTTGGAGAATCTTGCAAGAAATGAAACAATGAATCAAGTAGATTACAAAATAATATTAGCTTACAAGTTGGCGTCTTTCTTTCTTGGACCTCTCATCAGTTCGTACATTTAGCTCAAGGAGTCCCCTTGGAGGAGTAATCAGCATTTCTCTTCTTTTCAAATCAACATTAGGAACGATTTCCTCGACAAACGGTACCCAAACAAGGGGGCCAGAATCATTAGCTTCAGCCAAAGTAGATGGCTCCTCACTTCCATTAGGCATAGGTACAGCTGAATTGAGCATGACATGTAACAGATCATTAGCTCCACTGTTGAAAACATTAACAACTGTCCCCACATCTTGACCAGTTTCCTGAAAGAAGGTGGTATATAGAAATCTTAAAATTAAGCCTCACCAATCATAACAAAGATTAACAAATAAAATAATCAATCATCTAAAACCATGAGAAAGAATTGAAAAGAACAAACAAATCAATATACTTATCACTGTAAAATAATTACAACAATAATAGGCTTTAGAAGGCAAATCCAAAAGTTAAGGTGTGTTGAAATGTGAAAAGAAAAATGATGCATTTATGGGAGTTGCCAGATTTGTGCATGGACTATTAAGGGCTAATGAGCCAATAAGTACATTACCTTGAGAATGACTCTCATTCCAACAAGATCGCGAGTATAAAATTCACCTTCTTCTAGATGTGGCCTGTCTTCTTCCTCGGCCAATAAAGTTGAACCTACAAGTTGCCTAGCCTGAACAACAATAACTTATCAAGATGAAAGCAGGGAAAGAAAAATCAAAGGAGATATCCAAAGTAAAGAGGCAAG